ATATATATACGCATACGTATATATACACACACCCGAGGACCACAGTTGGCGTTAAAGTGACTCCCCTGCGTACACGAAGCGTAAGGTATAATACCCACTCCCTCTCCGGCTGGGCTTTCATGACAAATGGCTCTTGGGAATACTATATCGATCCGCCGCGACTACGCTCCGACTCGCCCCCGATCCCACATGCCGCTGCCGTCGTGGTAGTACCGTCCGACCAGCAGCAGCGCCCGCTACCACCACCCCCCCCTCCCCCTGCAAAATAACATAAACAAGTAAGTGCATTTTGTTGGCTATAGTTGGAAACGTCAATTCGACTTCACCACAAAATAGAAATAAATGTAAACCCACGTTGCAGGTACAGCGGGTGGGTGGCGCCTACACACCGAGCGGCAGACGGGTAGATATATAAAAGACAAAAAAAAAAAGAAAAAGCACAGCCCTCCTGGGGGGGAAGGGTCATGTCGGTGGGCGGCCTCGGGGTGTACCCAAAACTGCCGCGGGTGGCGGTGCGCGACAGCTTCGCCGACGACGAGGACGACGAGCTGAGCGACATTGACGACGAGGTGTTCGTGCGGGATGGGAAAAACGGGATACTCAAGCTTGGGGGCGGGGGGGGCGTCGGCCACCTCGAGGACGACGACGACTACGAGCGCGGGGTGAAGCGACCGCTCATGGCGCCCCGGAGGACCAAGTCACGGGGTGCCCACTTTGCCCCCGAGCCCGGTCTGCAGCCCCGTTTGCCGCTCAAGGCGCTCTTCGCGCCCTTCCTCTACACCATGCTCGGCCTCGTCGTGGTCGTGGCCATTATCGTCCTGTGCGCAGTGGCCATCACGAGGCTGCCCGTCTCCCCGGGCATCGTCGACCGGTGGCTGGCTCACGAGAAACACTCCCCGGCCAAAGAGCCGTATGTCATACCTTGCACGTCCCTTGGCTCGCGGCTCCAGTGGACCAGGACCCTGCCCAGGCTCACCTCGGAGGCGCCGCTGAGGAGCAACGACGTCAACGGGGACGGTGTCGTCGATATCATTGTCGGCTTCAGCACAGGTTGGTGCATATATAAAACCTTCAAATTTTCACGCGCCGCGGTGCATGTATAATAATATATGACAAATAAACGTAGGGTTGGACACGTCGGCCGCGACGGAGTTCACGTGCAAGATGTACTTTGAGCAGAGCGCGCCCTGCCTGGGCGGCGTGTTGGCCCTGGACGGGTCGCAGGGGAAAACGTTGTGGACCCATTGGACCGGGCACGCGGTGTTCTCGGTCGATTGTGGCCTGGACGTGAACGGCGACGGGACCAAGGATTGCGCGATCGGGGGCCGTGGTGGGATACTCCACGCGGTCAGCGGCCGGGATGGCAGGAGCATATGGGAGCTGAGCCCCGGCGAGCAGTTGGCCGACGCTGCGCGCTACTACGACGTGTACGACGTGAGGTACATAGCCGACATGGATTACGACGGGGTGGGAGACGTCGTGGCAGCTCACACCTGGGGTGCCCAGTCGGAGGTGGTCCTCGTGTCCGGCAAGACCGGCAACAGGATCAATAGCTGGAGGTTTCCCGGGAAAGAGCAGCTGTTTGTCGCCCCCCAGGTGTTGGTCCACCAGGACGGGGAGACTTACCTCGTGCTCGTGGCCAGCGACCGGGACAAGACCGGCGGCCTCTACGTCGTGCCCCACGCTAACCTGCTCAAAGGCGAATTTGTAAGTTTGTTTATTTACTCTCATCCCCTCTCCCACCCACTTGCTCTCATCTCCTCTGAAACGATGTCTGACTTAATTTATAAAGAGTAAGCTATGATAAAATATATTTCAAACCGGTTAGCAATTGGCACCTGTACCCATTTGGATTCAGAGGGAGAGAGAGAAAGGTAGGAAACGAGAGTAACAAAAGATTTCATTCCTCAGAAGCTGCAAAAGGTCCGCGAGGGTCCGGTTTCGCTGCCTCCCCTGTTGATCGACGTAAACTCGGACGGCACGGAGGACATGATTGTCGCCATGGCCAACTCGAGCGTGCTGGCCATAGACGGGCTGACCTTCAAGGAGATCTGGAACTTCACGATCGAGGGCTCCGAGGTGATAAGCATCCCCGTGCCCGGTTACTACAACGACGACAAAGTCCCCGATTTCATGGTGAAGCACCAGATAGGCCCGGGCTTCCCGCTGTACTATTACACGAGCGCCACGGTGCTGGACGGCAAAACGGGCAAGCCCCTGCTGGAGACGCCGATGATCGACACCATGAGCGGCCAAATGTCCGGGTTGTCGATAACCGTCGACGGCTTCGGCAACGATTGGTTCGTCCACTGGTCCGGCGACTGCCTCGGCAAGGAGGGCGCGAGGGACAAGTACGAGTTCTTCCGCGACTCGGACCCCGACGCCGACCTCTGCAGGCTCAGGTTCAACAGCTCCCTCGTCACGTCGCTCTACGCCTTTAGCCAGCACGTGGGCCCACCCGGTCTGGCGCTCTACCGCTCCGAGGACTGGAAAACCTTGGAGTTCAACAACAGCGTCGACCCCAAGAGCGCGGCCGACGAGTACGCCGCCCGGGTCCAGAGTCCGAGCAACGACGGTACCGAGCAGTCCCGGGGGGCGAGCAACTCCGAGAGCGAGGCGTTTCAAAAGCCAAGCCAATTTTACCCAAAAACCAAGGACGACAGCGTATTTTTGGACAAAGCCTTGGACGACGCGCAGCAAGGCGAGAACGAGTGGAAGCCCGACAGGTGGGAGGGGGACAGGTACAACAACGGCCAGCAGCAGATCGGGGAGGACAACAACTACGACGATACGTACGACGACGAGAACGAGAGGCTGATGGCGTCCCGTCAGCTTAACGAGTTCCAGAGGCTACAGAGGAGCGAAAAGAGCGGGGGCGGCCGGTACATCAACAACGACACCAACAAGATAAGAAACCAGCTGACCGACTCGAGCATGGACTACACCAATGGCCAGAACAAGCAGGCCAACTACTACACATCCCTGCACTTTAGCAGGTCGAACAACTCGGACGACAGCTCGGATTACATCCCGGACATAGACTTTGTCGACCTCAAGGAGGCGGAGGCTCTCACCGGGGCCGAGTTGGACAACGTTGCCCCGGCCGAGGAGCCCAGGTCGAGGCGGAGCGTCAAGCGCGAGGGTGTAGCTGGGCTACTGGGGGTACAGAGGCAGCCGCCCACCGGGATTTTGCTTCCGTCTCTGGCGAAACCGGGCGAGGCCGGGAAGAAAACGGTCGACCTTGTCTTTTCCACCTACTGGCTGCCCGCGTCCTCGACGCCCTTTGTTCTTCTCCCGGAGGATTTGAAGTGCATGCGGGAGGCAAAAAGCGCGGGCAAGGAGAGGGAGCCGGCAGTGGGCGAGTGCTTGGCTCGCCGGGGAGTGGATTTCCGGTCGTACCAGGAAGCCGTCGACAAGGAGAACGAAAAGATCGCCCTGGGCCAGATGACGATATACAGGATGCGGCTGCAGTGCACCTGTCCCGAGGACATGCTGGCCGGGCAGACGTGCAAGGACATTTCGGATCAGCAGAGGTGGCCCGAGCACTTGGGCGCATCGGTCAGCGGGTACTTTGACTCGTGGCGGAAGTAATCAAGAGGATAGGGGGAATTTCATGTGTAATCGTTGGAGAGACGAAGGTTAGAGATATGGAAGAAGATGTGTGTGGGTGTGTCGAAACGCGGATGATTGCGATGGATGAAAGATCGTGTGCATTATGTTATATACACACATGTATTACGAATAGAGGGCTTTGACGAAGGAGCCGGGAAAATATCTTGTCGTCGTTGCATATAGTTGTACAAATTTGCGATTTTGAATTGATCCATCAAAAATGCGATTGAGCTGATTATTACTATTATTTCTTTTTTTTTTTTTCGTCCTAATTATATGCATCATCGCACAAGTCGATTAGTACAATAAACTACACATTTTTTATACTATACGATGTTAAGATGCACATATCCAGCCCTTCATTCGCAACTTTTGTATAAATAAACCATCGTTTGTACAACTATATGCAATCATGTACATATTGTTACACCGTTTATGTTAAAATTTCTTAAATTAACTACATGTATGATTTTGCAACTGTTTTTACTTGCACATGCACGACGATACTTATACCAAATATGAAATATTTATGCATAATAACGAAGGTTTTCTTTGATACATACACGTACGTGTATATTATATATACCATCGAACATAAAATGCCATCTGATGCAGAGCATGATTATTATCGTAAGGGAAGAATTAAAAGTATAAGCAAGAATTACAAAGACAATATACGTGTGAAAGTTTAATAGTACCTTAGCACTGTTTTTGTTTTTGTACGAAGGAAACAAATATATATATATATTATAGGATAAAACAATACAAAAAATATATAATGTATTCTACTACGTGATGATGTTTTTTCGCCGATTAAATAATTCATGTTGATTGATTGCGAAGTTTATAAATATACGAGAGTCGAGCGATGATGTTATAATATAGTCCCTAAGTTGTACAAAATAAATAATATCGAAAGATGTGTGATATATACCATATATACACTTACGAAGTAACGTTTCCGAGTTTTTCATTTTCCAAGCGCTCCTTTTACCCTCGTGTCACGCTACAGAAAAGCCAGCCCGTATATCGGTAAGTGTACCAAGTTTGATCGATAAAAATGTTGTTTACACGCGCCTGCACGTACGACATCGTTTAAAAAAAAAAAAAAAAAAAGAAAAAAAAAAGTCAAGTTGTCGCGCACGTCATATCACAAACTTTTTCCATTCCTTTTAAAGAACCATTTATCCGTAATGCTCAAGTAAACGCGTACAGGTGTGATTTCCTAACCAACCTCCCCACCGCGATGACGTTATATTTAACCATGAAATCGCGAAAAAAAAAAAAAAAGGAAAAATGCCCTTTGGTGAACGTTAACGAGGACCGTCCATCAACGGAGTAGTCCCAAGAGGATACAAGGAGGACAATTCGGAGATAAGGTGAGTACACACGGGAGATCGGCCAAAGGGAATAAACGTGAAATTTCAATCCCAAAAGTACACACGATGAACCTGGACATTTGCCGAGTCAGCCAGGAGTCGGTCTCCTCGGGGCCGGACGCGACGACGGACAAGAGAATGTCCAGCCACTTGGACGGCAGCATCCTGGGTAGCGCGGTCAAAGCCGTGCACCACCGATTTTTCAGCTCCAGGTGCTCGAGCGAGTACTTCAAGAACAGTGCCACGCAGACGGATTACACGGAGGTCGAGTGCCAGACCGAGCCCTGGGAGCCACCGTACAGGGTCGCGGAAGGTACGTACACACCCTACGGCGACATTGAAACTTGGACGTGGTGTTTCATCCGAGTGTCGTGTAAAAGGTCACGATCCGGAGGTCCTGACTCTGCAGTCGTTCGCATGGGGCAACGAGTTGCCGGCCGGCGTCCACGAGGTCGAGATCATCAACCGGATGAGAATGAGAAGGGCCTGGGAGCTGGTTCTACCGCCGATGGATACTCCTTGCAACGTGAAAAAACGCAAGGTCATCATCACCGCCCTCGAAGAGGACGAGTGGGCCTTCAGAGAATCTGTAAATTAAACGTCACCACCCTCTGCATGCTAACTATTTGGTTGGTGAAAGAAAGAAAAAAAAAAAAAGAAACTGGGGATTTCACGCAGGAGATACAAACGGTCATGGACATGAGGATGGAGCTGGCGAAGGAGCTGATGGAGTCGAGGGACGGCGAGAAGAGGTCCAAGGCCGAGATCAGGTTCCGGAGGCTCGAGGAGATACTCAGCAGACGCAGGCAGAAGGAAGCCAAGAACATAAGGAACAAGTTGGCGCGCGAGTTGCGCAAACTCGTTGGCAGGCACTGCGATCCCGGTGAAAAAAATTCACGGCACATCCCCGCCAAGCGAGGACCTAGCGCCGAGTACCACGTGAAACAGTGCTACGACTGTAACAGCCGCGTTGACGACATCCGCGGGGACAACAAACCCATGGACCGTAAGCCGATACCCTGGCTTAGGCTTCCATGCAAGTATGGATCCGTGTAAGAAAAAACGATCTGGTTTCAGCGGATATGCTTCGCGTTCCCAAGTGGCTGACCGACAAGCTGAACGACGCCACGCGCCAGTCCTCGGGGCCGTGTCGCAGGTGTCCCGAGAGGAAAGATAGGTACCTGCTGAGGCTCAGCCAAGCTGTGGAACACCATGGCAAGGAGAACTTGGATGGACTGTCTCTGTTGAAGCGCGTCAAGAAGCCGCCTTCGATGCCCCCAACGCCCCAGTTGTCTTGGCGGTTGTCGGAGCACTCCGAGAACAGGGCGGACGCCGCTGTGGAGTACCTGCAGGGACTGATCAGCGGCCGGGCAGTTCAGTGCGAGGTGGTGATGTGAAAATAAACGTATACAGCGAGGTGTGGGATGGTCCTAGTGAAAGGGACATTTTTTTAGTTCATCGAGGGGAAAAATCGATGCGCGGAGCTGATTGAGGAGCTGCAAGCGTCTCAAGCCGAGGAGACGGACGAGGAGCTGGCCGAGAAGTTGCGTAGGAAGCAGGAACATGAGCGAGGGGTCGCACAGGAGAACAGAGCCAGGGAGATACTACAGGCGCTCGAGGGCAAGACCATCGCAAAGATGCTGATGTTCCTGAACGACGTGAGAAACGAGGATTCCTTTGTCGCACTACTTTATATATTATCCCATGGTATCTTCCTGTGGGCTGCAGGAGCTGACGAGGCTCGAGAGCGAGAAGAAGAGCCACGCGCTCGTGCTGTTGGCCGAGCGCGAGAGGATGAGGCACAAGATAGAGCAAGCCTGCCAGGAGCAACTCGAGGCGAACCGGCGTCGCGAGCTGGACGAGATGTATCGGCAGATCTTGAAGGTCAACCAGGAGTCCGTGCAAATGTACCTCGAGGACGTGCTCAAGGAGGGAGTGGAGTGGGCCTCGGAGAAGGAGGCCGAGAATTACGTGCACGAGCTGGCGAACAAGGTCGACGCGATGGCCAAGTACATGGACGACAAGTCGGTGGCTCGAGCGATGCTATTAATGCGACACAACGATAATGTGATGTACTCGAGAAGTAAAGGAGTGGGTGTATTTTTAGCATCGACAAGATTGACGAGGAGGGTATGGTCGCGGACATGGTTTACAACTTTGTGCTGCCTCGAGTGGCGAAAGAGTTTGCGGCTAGGGAGGAGCGCGAGAAGCAGGAGGGCTATTTGCGCGCTGCTTGCGCGGCTGTTTACGACGAGATCGGCAAGACCGATGAGGCTGGCGTTGGTGCTTCTTGTCAATCGGCAAGTCTCCTCTCGTGTCCTGTTCCTTTGTGAGCTTTGATAATTTTGTTTGTTTTTCAGGAAAACGAGCTGCAAATGTGCGATGGTAAACGGGAGCAGAGTTAAGTGATCGAACTCATTCTGGATTACTCTCTGATACCGAACGGTCGGTACTTGAGTTTGTTTGTACCGAGCTCTCGTGCTTTCGAGACAGCGTCGATTGATATGAGCTTTTTTTTTTCAGAGGATCGCAAGCAAGAGATTTACCTCATTTTGGAGGAGATGCTGTGGGTCGCTAAAGAAAAATTGAAGATTTCGAGCTGAAAGTGTGGTTGGCACAAAAAAACTTATTTTTTATTTTGGATTGGGAAAAAAAAAAATTTCGAGTATAGTTTAAACGGTATGAAATTAAGTTTTATGATTTATAAGTACAAAGAAATGTCGTTCGTGAGAATATAAAAAATAATAACAATTATTATTAACAAGTTATTTTCGAAATATGTCTTCGTTCATGTTTACGATTCCCCAAGGATGAAAGGGCTTTTGAAAGTTTGCTTACTATAACACAGTTACAAAATTATAATACAAACAATCATCGAAACTGGTAATAGATAGATTTCACAAGATTGCATGATGAAACATGCATTTTCTAATGATTACATTATCAAAATTTCTTATTTATTATTATTATTATTATTTTTTTCTATATACACGTGCACATATTAAACCATTGTGCGGGTTACACCGAGATATGGTTAACTAGCTAATGAGAATATAATATCAACCGGCTCATGGTTTGCATGATCAATGCTTTATTTCTTATGCATTGATAATCATTAGATGGTTTTTATAAATCACGATTATTTTTGGAGCCGTAATTTATTAATTAAATTTATAAAATATCAAATTATTGTTTGCACGAACTTTTGTTGCTGACAAACAATTTGTTTAAAAAAGGGGGGGTCGTTTAATTAGAATCAGACATACATTCTTCCATTGGTTTATCTAGAAGATCCACCATAAATTTTTTGAATTTGACATCTTGCGCGTCCACGGATGATTTGCGTTCAACTATCAACTTTCGTTTTTTCGCCTGTATATCTTTCGAGTTGAGTAACCCAGTATCACAAGTTTTTCTCTTGCAATTATCCAAGCTATTGGCACGGTTCAATTCGGCTGTCAAGTCGCCTAGTTTTTGTTCCCACTCTTCCAGATGCTTCTTCATTTCAGCTAGCTGGTGATTCTGATCCTGTATTTTTTTCGTGTGCTCTTGCAATTTAACGTTTTGTTTTCTTATTTGAGAAGCTTGTCTGTTCATCCTCAGTTTCATTTTGCCAATTTGGCCCTTGACACTTAGTATTGTAATTTTATTCTTTTTGGTACGATTACAGATCTTCTTCCAGGTAGATGGATGTAAATTATGCGGCAGTGTTGAACTTTTGGGGTGTGAAGTGTGATGTGGCATCATCAGGTGAGAGAGACTGTCGTTATACTGACTTACATTGGCCGATACCGTGTGACAGATACTACTTTTAAAGTCGGGCAAAATTTTTTCATCAAAGTGTTCCATTGCCATGCTACTGATGTCACGCAATTCTTGTAAAATTTCTGGAGTTCTGGGTGGTGTTTTTGAGAGTCTGATCAGACGTAAGACTCTCAATATTTCATCAATCACCTGACAATGTTAAATAATTTTTTTTCATTCAATTATTTTAGACTCATGAGCTACAATAATACGAAAGAGCGACATTTGGGTTCAGTAATTTACCTTTCCTGGGATGAAGCAACAAAGATTCAAGTCAATGTATTTTGTAAAAGTCATGGATAACATTGATATTCTTGTCTCTATAGCCGTAAGAATATCACAATGTCTTGCAAGGGGATGAGTTCTTCTCTCCGATTCCCTGCGTGGCAACTGACTTTTGACAGTTCTCAAGCACTGCGCGTGATATTTTTCCATCAAGTTGAATCCTCTGTTGAGCAGCTTCTTGCAGATGTGATCAAACGCTTTGCAAACCTGTAGATAAACAATAATCCAAGTATTGAATGAGTTTTCCCATACTAACGTAAAGAAAAAATTTTCCACTTACAATTCTGAGTCTGGCAATTTCATCGTAGCTGAGCTTGGAGAAAATCATTTCCAAAACAATTTCGGGAAGTTCGAGGAAATTCAGGGCCATTTGGGCGTCATTCTTGATCAAAATATCCATTTTTGAAGCTTTATTTGATGGAACTTTTAAAACCTGACTTTAATCAGAAGTAATTCACTGGCAGCACCAACAACAACAAACGATTCGCTCTCATCTCAAATTTTTATTCCATGGGAATAGCCGTATATGCACAACAAAATAAAACGCACTGCGTGTGGGCCGAAATAAACTGGATAAGTAAGTAAACGATCCTCGCACGCTTCACGAAAACAAAATGGTAAGTATGGTTTTGATTCTCAAAATAGCCAAAACACAGCGTTCACATATTTGACGTAGCTAAGAGGTATTTGATTGTTGCAAGCAGCATCAGCAACTACTGCTCACGGTAGTTGCGACGCTTCTCCAAGCTTCGATCTAATATAGTAAACTGAAAACAGTGACGCCAATATAAATAGGTACGCATACCTATACTCAGCGAAGGAAAAAAACACAAACTACGTGCTCAAACATGACAAGCGGCTATAGCAGCCTAATAAGACGTTTTTATCAGGTCCTCTGGAAGTTTTCACACACCACTCTTTTTACAATTTTTTTACCCTCTTCACACTTTTTATCCGAGAACTTAGTTGTTTTGTGTAGAGATTTTTCGCTGTTGTCTTCTGCTTTTCTAACGTTGGTGCTCTTATGCCATGCATATATATAATATTTCTATACATATACATCGCACTATCGCAGGTTCTTTGTTGTCGTTGTGTGAGTTCTGATTTGATAAGTAGATAAGTACATCAGAAAGTACATATATTTTTAGTGTACGTGTACGTGACCCTGTCTTCTGCAGCTTCTACTTATTCATTTTAATATTCACACGCGTGATCGGCGCATCCGTTCAGTACTTATAAATATTCATTACTTAGTCTTTAGTTTACATTTTTTCTTCACCTCTAGAAATTCAATAATTTTATACGTGTGGTTTACACATACACAGAAAGAAAAAATCAAGTACTTGTAAAAATTAAAATCATATTCGTGTTATACAATTTTACCCAGGGGGGGAAAATTTTTTAAATGGATAAGTAGAGTTTTTCCAGAGAGAGGTCGCTGGGGGTATTGTCAGTCGCACGTACTAATTAAAACTTTTCAACTATTAAAAGCAAAAACGTCGTTGCCAACAATACGACGGGTAGGGGGGTGCGTGTCCACGTGATCGTCGTCGAGAATGGCCAGCAAAAAAGCGCTGCATACCTACATGCATACGCCATGCTAAAGTGCCATTGCAGCGGCCATTTTTGCCTGCAGTCGGATCTGTGGATCAAGTAGAGTCAACGTTACTTTTCGTTGATTGTATATAATTGGTGGCTGAATTGAAATTAAAATAGAGCTTACTTAAAACAGAGGTAGAAATAAAAAGGGAGAGAAGGAGAGGAAAAAAAAAAAAAACAACAATAGGTGTGCGAAAATGATCGAACTGTTTCTATATAGATATATACTGGAGCCGCCACAGAGAGGTTGACCCGTCGACGTCGACAGTCTATACTGCTGCCCGGTTCGTGTACTCAGTCATCAACGAGCGGGTTATCGGACAATTAAAACAAATATAATAGATAACCACCTGGTTCATCGAGCTTTTTTTTACAAGCTCTACAGGGTCAGGCCTACACCAATACTAGACTACATTTACTTTTACTTACCCATCTGCCGATCTGCCCATTATTATTTCTATTCTCTTTGCTGCTGCACATGCTCCGTAGTTCCGTATACCAGTTCCAACCAACGAGAGTTACGAGAGTCGCGCTCTCACTTATACCTATACACAGTTGCACCCGACTCTGCAAGACTCCTCGACCGCGATAATAGCAGTGCTGATCGGACTCTAGCTGTGGAAGCACACGACGCGAGAAACGGACATATCGGACAGACTCCGTTTCTGTCTTTTGCCAAAACTCGTTTTCGTTCGGTTTATCCCGCAGAATTGCTCGTGCTCGTGTGGCGTTGGCAAAAAGCTCGCGCGGACAAAACAAAAGACAACAACACATGAACGCAGAGAGACAGAGAGATAGCGAAATTAACGAGCGAAGCTTCGGCAGTACTTAAATAGTATAGTTAAAGGCACCTGCGACTCCTGCGAGAGCGATCGCGCCTGCACAAGAAATTAATTGCACCGGAGACTGGAATTACTATACAATTATTAATTGTACCTAGTGTCGTCGTGTGCGCGTCGTGTGCCATTGCCATCATCATTACTGGCACCATTGTACCAGGCTTCAGATACAAAACACGACAGTGAAGCTCAAGCCGAACCAGAGCAGTCCTCCCTCCCCTCCTGCAAAGCCCGGACGTAGCTGTTTACTACAGCAGCCGTAGGAGTAGCTGGAGCAGTAAGACCCAGGCAAAGAAAGATCAAGAGATGGCATTCAACGGGGACGGACCACACTCGAAACGCCAGCGGCTCGAGGAGACCAGTCACAGGGTTAGTTTACTTATTTCTAATCAAATGCATGCAATTAAAACTCTGCTTTTTAAACGCGCAGCTTTAACCTAAAAAAAAAGAAAAAAAACGATCACCATGCGCGCCAGCTATAGAGAGAGAGAGAGCCGGGCAAGCAAGCAACATGCAACAGCAGCACCTGGCAACGCGGCGTCGGCCGGTCAGCAAAAGTATAGCAATACAACCAGAGTATCGCTCGCTCGTTCTCTCTCTTTCTTATTCTCTTCCTTTATATTTTTATCGACGGTCAAGTATATAAGAGCACGCATGTTGAGTAACACAGCACACCAGCCGCATATATACTTATTTAAAGAGAGGTACTCTTGCACGAGAAAGCAGGCAGCTTCCCCCCCACTCCTCTCCCCGCCGCGTAAAACAAAGAAGAGCATCAGAGAGCGAAGCAGCAGCTCCGAAATGGCTTCTCCCGCGGAAGCTCGGTTGCATGCCATGCCGGTCGCTCTCTTTTCACTTGTTTTTTTTTTTTTTTTTTTTCCTTCCAATTTTTTTCCTTGCGTCCAATGATCCGATGCTTACACTCCACCTTTCGAGCGAACATGTACAATGCACGGCACGGAGCAGTGCTCCGAAAAGGTGCTCTCTCGTCTGTACTTCTTCTCCCCCACGTATACCTGACGAGGAGTGCGTGTGTGTATATCGGTACGACAACCTGTTATTTACTCCTCTCGCGACAGTCACTCATCAGGTGTATCTCCCAAGCTACCCCTTACACACGCACACCAGGTATCGGGTTGGAGGAGCTTGAGCATCGAGACCCATCAGCGGAGCAAACGAGCGCGAGAGAGAGAATGAAAAGAGGGACGCCGCGAAATATATTGATTATTTCATGAGCGCGCGACGAGCAGCAGAGGTAGAGCGAGAGGTGGAGTTGAGAGAGAGTGTGTGTTTGTGAGCTCTCGTCGTCGTCTGTGTGTGTAGTTGCACGGGAGTCGGGAATGCCGCCACCGCCGCGAGAGCCATCGCCGCAGTTGCCGCTCCTTTCCGAGAGAGCCCCTTTTGCTGACTGCCATTATATCTATACCGTATAAATACCCTGCTATGGCTGTCCCTGCCCCCTCCCCTCTTCGATAGGTATTAACGCCCTGTTGTTGTTGTCCCTACACTCCTACTTTTTCTCCAATATCTTTTTTTTTTTTTTTTTTTTCTTCTCACCCTCGAAGGACGCCTATTTATTATAATTTACGATGGAGCTAATTTTTCCGCCAAACGAAGGGCAACACCAAGTGCCATTTCATTTTGGAGCCGAGCCCCTACGTATTATGCCCACACCCAACAGCTGAGCAAAGCGACAACGCACACATAACGAAAATAATATATGTATGAGAAAAACGTGCGTTGGCACCTGACATCGGAGTAAGTATATAATATCAACCAGGTAAGGGGAAAAGCACATTATGCAGCCTCTCTTGCTTGTCCGCGAATCAAAATTGAATACGCTCTCTCGGAGCATATAATATGTACAATATTAAATGGAAAATCTCGGTAAATGCGAGCGTCGGTGTATTTTGTGTCCGAAAAGGAGTCGCCGCTGCTCCGAGGCCAAAGACCTCGTCGAACATGTACGAGTGATAACGTGCTTTTATATTTATGTTACGTATATACTTCGTCCTCGACTTCGTCGAGCCTCGAGCAGGAAGCCTATCGATTGCTTTCCCCCCCCCCCCTTGCTTTTCCATTCCATAGGTACACACGCGTATACGCGTAAACTGACCCGACTAAGTATTCCGAGTCGCACCGTATTTGTTATTTCTCTCGATTTTCGGTTTAGTTGCAACTTCCAGGGCCGCAATCGCTGCTCCATCCAACTCTGCCCGCGTGATTTTTTAATCCCCCAATACAACAAAAAGCCCCTTGCAGCTATAGTACACACTCTGCGCCCAACCAAACGGGGTACATAATTTATATTACACGCGTGGGCGAACTAGGCGTTACCTATTCTATTTCCTTCTCCATCTCACTCTTACAGTTTTTTTTCTTCTTTTTTTTTTTTTCATATTCACCGTTTCTTTCTCCTACGCCTTACGCGCGCAACATGCACTTTGGCGATCGCCACTTTTCCGCTACACCGTATATAATACCGATCGGCAACTCATTCATGCACCGATTTTTCCCTCGCGCTCTGCTCTACACATATCTTTTGGTCCGCGCGTATAAACACATGGTTGATCAATTCGCTCGGCGGTACCCCGCGGACGTTTCAGTTTTTCACCCGAAGCGTGTGTGCGTTGATAATTTATAATTTCGCGCTGCTGGTATTTCAGCTTCTGGTATAATTTATTTATTCGAAAGTTTGTTATTTCCTGAAAATGTAGAGCTCCCGGCACGCGTCGAGAACATTTTCATCCTATACGAATTTCAACTTCGATAATTAACTCGCATCGTCATCGTTATAGAGACGATACTATCGCTTTCAACAAACGCGATAAGCAGCGACATCGGATTTTTACTTTTATAACTCCTTATCTGCAGGAACAACAAAGTAAAGCAATTCTCCATGTCTCAACTGCAACTTTCAGCCTCGTTTATTTTACAAAGTTGTGCATTTAATTAGCGGCTCGTGTTTTCTTTTTCTCTACAGCTATGGCACATAATTTACATCCGCGCGCGTGTGCATGTATACGTCCACCAGATGAGGAGTGTATGCGCACACACTTTTCTCCTCATCCCCGAGTTTTCGCTACGCTAGTTTTATGTACTATTTGTCACGGTGCGAGCACACATTTTTATGGCACAAGCTATATGTATATACACGCCCTTCTCCACCACCCCCGCACATGTAAACTTGCACTCGCATTATGTAAATTACGTTTATACGCGAAGCATGGGTTTTTTTTTTTTTTTCACCCGTACAAAAAAAAAGCAAAATATGTCCATGGACACCTTTGAAGCGCCGAAAATCTGTCGACACTCGATCCATTGCAATTTCCCGCTTCATTATTTTTTTTAGTACTGCGAAAAGCTGGTGGGCCACCCCACACGCTCGTGTACGGCTTTATTCCATGAAACATTTGCGGGCCTCGATTAACGAGCACCAACTGTCGTACAGCTCGAATTCGACAACAACAATCACAGAGGCGAATATTGCAAACGAAAGCCAAGCGTGTACTTGTGCACCTGTAAAGTATATATGGCGTATGAGCTCTGGTACATGGTTGTTGGGGTGGATGGGACCGCAACGGAGAGTAATATATATACCACGGGGGAATGTATAAGGCTGCAGTTGGGCGAGGCACCGGTGCAGCGCGCCCATGAAATATTAGCGAGCCGAGGGAGCTCGGAAATTGCACCGGAGGGCAAAAGGCTTAGCCGTACCTGCTGGAAATTCGTGTATATATTATATGCCTACACGTTTCGTGCGCGAAATAACGAAAGAGAGCAGCACCACCGACTCTGTATCATTATTGTATTAGCCTTTTTTTGGGGGGAGGGTATGTCTTTGATACTTTGTCTTTTAACCAATGACTACACAAATGATGTAAATATATATATACATATCATACGCGCTGTACAATTGTTTTTCAAAAATGTACACATGAAAGCAGAGGTTGACACGGGGGAAGCAGCGCGAGCAGGGAAATCGCGAGGGACGTGGTTATTCGGGCTCTGAACATATATATATATATATATATATATATTCCCCGCGCGTCATCGCTTATACATATACGGGATTCCTGACGCGTGATGTATACAAGTATGGTACCCGAGAGTTGCGCGTGTGGGGGGGGGGGGTATTTTTTGACACGCAAAACCCGCGATTTAACGCACATCTCAACTTTCGGACAAGTACAAACGACGGTCTCGGGGCGCGATCGAAAAATCCAAAAGAAACCCAACGCGCGTCCATCTAGCTGGCGATTATTTATACGTACAAGCTTGCGCGCGGGGCTTGATTCGGCGATAAATTTCGCGTGACGCGATTCGTGCGCCGGGCCGGGACAGGTATAATTAGGCCCTGTCTCTCCGCGGTGAGGTACACCTATAGCTCCGAGAAAAATTACACGATTTGCGTTTGAAAAAAAAAAAAAAAAAAAAAGCATCTAAACGTTCGGGGCGACGAAAGGTGCTCGATCAAGTGGACGCTATAATGTATCCGCGCAGCTGTGCCCTCGGGTTCGTTTCGCTTCACTAATTACCTACACGTGTGAGTAGAATAGATAATGATATTACACTGCAGGGGCAAAGCTTGCCAAACCCAATAACAGAGTCCCATACAGGTACACCACCACCGAGCACCACCTCTTCCTTCTCTTATACTTTTTATTTCATCAATTTTCGAAATCTTGCCCCGATATACACTCCTCGAGAGCAATCTTATACCTCCATAAAGTACACGCCCGGACCAATTTGGAGTAGAACATCCCGGCTCGTGTTCCCATGAATTTTCAATTTCGGCGGGGGAGTTGGAATTCAAATTTTCACTCGCCAAAGGAATTAACGTCGCCACGGAGAGAGGAAAACCGGACGATTTAATCGAACGGAGACTTTTGCCCGCGCGAATCTGCACAAAGATCGAAAAAAAAAAAAAAAAAAAAAAAAAAANAAAAAAAAAAAAAAAAAAAAAAAAAAAAAAAAAAAAAAAAAAAAATGCTCCCCGGAAGCTGTGGCGGTCGACCACGAGGGCTCAGAGCCGCGGTTAGCTTTGATCAGCGAAATAAGCGCCGGCTCTATACGTATACACGTGTGTATATATAAACGTACACACACACACTGATGGGAAGTGCAGCGATAACCGAGAGCTGATTCTTCCACTTTGAGCCTCACTCTGCAAGCTCGTCCTCTCACCGCGACCAACGTGCGTGTAACATATAAATATACTACCCACCCTCTAATCATATACTTGAGAGAGTACTTGGTACATAATACAGTACAGCTGTCGAGTTCTTTTTCGTTTTTTTTTTTTTCGGTGCCAGCTCCACTTTCGCAGGGTGAAAAAACCCGTGGGAGAAAAAAAAAAAAGAAAAAAA